AACTCTGGGAGTTGAAGTCCAGCCATCTTAAAGCATTCTGACTGGGGGATTCCGGAAGTTGAGAGCATCCTCCCAGCTGTCAAGTTTGAAAAACACCTCTGTAGAGACTAACATAGATTCTTGCCCCCTTTTGTTTGAATGGAGGGCTGTCTGTCTCAGTAAGGACTCTTGTTTCCTCAGGTTCACACCATCTGAAGTGCAGATTGAAAGACTCCAAACTCTTAAGGCTGGGAGTGATCTGAGTCTCCGAAGACTCCAAAAAAGCAGAACAGTGCAGGATAAGGCAATTCCGTGAGGCTCACCCAGCCCACTTTTTAAATTATCATTATTTATTATTATTATTGAGGATTGTCTCTCAGGCCAGGATTATCAAAGCATTAAAAAATAATAATCCATATTTTCCTCTTTCCCTTGTTATCCCTCTGTATGTTTTCCTTCATTTTGATCTACTGTCCAGACAGTGCAACATCCATCAGTCCATTTTTATTGGTCTCCGGGTGGAAAGGTCCTATCAGGCATCGCTCCGATTTCTGCAATTTCCCCTGAAGTCAAGCAGAGCAGGGAGGCAAAAGGTCTCTGTCCAATCCCTCACATCTTGCAAAACAGCCTTTCTGAGACAATCGCTGGACGATCCGCTGGGCTTCAGAAGGGCTTCTGGATCCAGCTCCTTCTCCTTGTCCGCTTCCTTCAGAAAGCACATGTCGACCCGAAGCTCCCAAATCAGAAACGGGGATTTGCACCTATTGGGGAAGTGAAGAGGTTTCCTGGCTGAAGGAAGCACGTGATCACGTCCCTTTCGCTTGAAAGCCGAGTGGGCTGTTTAGATTGCCTTCCCATGGATTGCGACAGAATCGAATGCAACCTGCATGCATCTTCAAGGGATAGATTCTCGGGTTCTCGGGCATGCATTTGTTAGGAAGGGGCTCAAAAGCAGGGTGGAAACCTGGTTTATTCATGCAGCCACCTCCTGCGCTGAGGAAAACCCATTGGGAGGAACCTTCCTGCTTCCCTTCGAATCCCCAGGTCCTCTTCCACTCTACCTCCAACACGGTTAACGGTGAAAGAAGATCGGCTCGCGGTGACCAAGGGACACACCTTGACCCAAGAGGCAAAGAATATCCTGACCATCTAAGAACATAGGGTCACAGGGCAAGCGACTGAGGTTTCATGCAAAAAATGCTGGGATGCCCCCTCCATGGACCTCAAACATGCAACACCCATTTTACGGAAACGTTGACTGACCCTGAAGGAATCTGCGCGAGCAGGCCTCCAACCACCCCGTATCCCCAGTTTGCAGAGCAGGAAAGAAGCTGACTGGGATGAGTGGCAGGCCACAGATACCAGAGAGGGGACGCTTTATAAAAAGGGGAGCAAGGAAGTGAGGGGCAACTCCTTCTCGCCCATCAGAGTGTCCCGCTTGAGACTGCTGCCTTTGTTAACCACTTTGACCTTGAGAGACATTTTCCTCATGTTGCTGAGGCCCAGCCCGTCGAAAAAGAAATCCTCGTTGAAGATGGGGTTGCGGCTGTTCTTGATGATCGTGCTCCGTTGTTTCTGCACCTTGCCGGGGTTTAAATAGAGAGCGACGCAACAGTTGATGCTCCTGACGTCACAGTGCTTGTCGTAGAGGTCTTCGGCGGCCACAACACGCACCCGCAGCCGGGCGTTGGACGGGTTGTACTGGACCACTAAGCGGATGCTGCCTCCTTTGCTAAAACTGAGCACGTGCTCCTTGTGAAATTTGTCTTGGGAGTCCGCAGCGGTGAGGGGCTGTGGTTGCAACCCGCCGATGGCTCCCCCGGTTGGAGGGGTTGCACAGCGCATGCGGCGCTGGGAGCTGGGACTGGTGTCAGCCGAACTGTCATCAGTGGACAGGGAACTGTTGCGAGCCACCGAGTGTTTGAGTTTGATGACCTTAGATTGGCTCTCCTGGCTGAAGATCTTGAGAAGGGACACCGACCTCGACAGCAACGGGGAACCGAAGGGAGAGGACTCCGCGGAGGAGCAGGTGTCGCTCTCCCCTCCACTGAAGTAACGGTAGGGATTCATGAGGGACATACTGATGTCTGAGGGGTTGAGGTGAGCGCTCTCTCCATTGGTCTTGCTCCCTCCTGAGGTGGACTTCCGTTGAGAACTGGGCGAGGAGGACTGGGATGGGCACAGGCTGGTGTGCTCGCTGTGGAAAAGAGATTCCTTACGGCGCGTGTGAGGACTTTCCATCAGCGTCGCAAAGCCGTACGAGGTCTGCGCTTTGGGGACATACGGCAGCGACATGGCTGTCTGGGACTGTGGGTCTGCGTTGGTACTGTAGTCCTCCTCAGACATCCACTCATCTGCGCTCTCGATCTGGATGATGTGTCGACTGGCAGCTTTCAAAAGATTCTTGCTCTCCGAGACAGCCTTCACGGGCAAACGAGGGCTCCGCGGGGTTTTGCGGGCAGATAAATTCTGCTCGGAGGCCGAAGTGCCCAGATTGGGTTTGGTGTTCCCATCCTCTGCCTCAGGAGGCACCGTTGGCAACTTGGGAGGAATGAAAAAATCTGGGATTTTATCCGGCGTCAGGACGTTGCTGTACAATGGTCCTTTGGACTTATCTGCTGAGTCATTAGCGCGAGAACCGCTGTTGTCCACTGAGCCCCGGATTTTCTCTAAAAGCCACATTCTGAGTCTGTTTCTTCTACTGGTTCAGGAGGAGACCGACAACAGCAAATGCCTGGAAGATAAAAGAAAAGAAAACCAGAGTGAGTTTCTTACCTTACCACTTGTACAGAATGGTCTTTTAATTTGCAGATTAGCTACTGCTGAGCAGAGAAATAATCTCCTTTTTTTTCGTGGAGGAAAAGAGCATCGGCTTTTGAAATTTCTTTCCAAGAAGAAGAGAAAATTTCAGGGGTGGGACATAGCTTTTTAAAACTTACTTCTTGATAAGCATGTTAGGTGGTGGGCAAATCACACGATTCAGGCAATTCAAATGAATATAAAGATTTATACTCTCTACAAAAACCTGAGCTACTAAAGGTCAAGGGAAATGTGTGGGAATTAAAAAGGCATTCAAAGTGGCTGGACTTAAGATTTCTTGCAGGCACAGGGACTCATGACTGATGACGCGTTTGACTCTTCCCTTGGGCTCAACTTGGCCATCTCTTTGCATAGCAATAGCACTTAAACTTATGTATCACTTTATAGTGCTTTACAGCCCTCTCTAAACGGATACAGGGGTCAGTATATTGCCCCCCAACAATCTGGGTCCTCATCTCACCAACCAATCAAACTCTTGGCTCTGGGCAGAGTTTGCCTTCAATACTGCATTCTAACCATACGGGCCACCACAGTGATTCATGCAGTGGTAGGCTGCAACCAGTTAAACAACCGGTTCTGTGAGCGCACGTTTCGTGCGCGCAGCATTCAATAAAACGCCCATTTGAACCTCTCCGGCTCACCTTCTAGCCTTCCCCGGTATAAGTAGAACAGCTGAGGCACAGTAATCCACTTTGCCACACGAATCAACTGAGCTGCGGAAGAAGGAAATGTAAGACAGGATACGGCAGGGCGGGTGAGCAGGGGCCAACTGATCATCATTCGTATCGGTTCACTAGAACCGGTGTGAACTGGCAGCAGCCCACCACTGGACCTATGATGACGCAGCCAGGGCCTGCATGTTCTATTTCTCATTGTAGCATCATTTCTCCACAGGCCTGTAAGTTCCCAGAATTCCCATATTCCCATTCAGTGCCCATGGAAGTCTTCCCAGTAGAGTTGGTTTCTTTTATGCACAGCACTCCTCAGGTGTTTTCTGTGGGAAAACACCTGAAGAACAAGGACCACCCAATTGGATGTTTTTAAAAAAGAGACTGGACAGCCATAGGTCTAAAATGGTACAGGGCCATGATGGTGAACCTATGGCAGGCATGCCAGAGGTGGCAGGCAGAGCCCTCTCTCTGGGCACGCGAGCTGTCACCCCAGCTCAGGTCTCTGCCATACCTGCGCGGGGTGCAGGGCGCATGCGCAAGGAAGGGCACACACACACAAGGGTCACATGTGCATGCGTGCGGGTTGCACGTACATGTATGGGTCGCCGGGGGTCACTCACGCCTGCGTGGGGGCGCGTATGTGTTGCATTTTGAGGACGCGTGTGCTTGCGCATTGGGCACTAGGTGCCAAAAAAGGTTAGCCATCCCTGGTATAGGGTTTCCTGCCTGAGCAGAGGGCTGGACTAGAAGACCTCCAAGGTTCCCTTCCAACTCTGTTATTCTTATTCTGACTTGTTTTGCCCGCAAACTCGATGGAGATCACAAGAACGTAATCCTACCACTCTGCGCTGCACGGATGGGACCCCCACTTGGAATACTGCATCCAGTTCTGGTCAACACGATCCAGAAAAGATACTGAGGCCCCGAGATGTGCAATGAAGAGCCACAAAGATGATAAAGGGTCTGGAGCATAAAATGCATGATGATTGGTTAAGGGAATGAGGTATTCGTACAGGGCTGTTAAACTGGATTTCAAGGGCCAAATCAGCACTGTAGTTCTGTTCTGCAGGCTGGCCTGGGGCAGGGGGAGAGATGGGATCGACACCTCCTGCAGCACTCTGCCAGCCAAAATGGGGCAGGGAGGGCACACACAGCTCCCCTACACCCTATTCTCAGCCTGGACAGCCTCCTGCACCAGTCTGCCAGACAAAAGGGATCGCATGGGGTGCCAACTCAAAAAATATTTCTCTGGTCTTTTGGAGTTGCGAGCAGAAAGGGAGTGGGGGAGCAGTGTAGCAGCTTGCAAAACTGAACCTGCACTCCATAAATGTTTTCACAGATAGTTTCTAGGCGACCGAAGTTTCTGCCGCGCAAAATTCTAACTGGAGAGCATGACTGATGACTCTGGGCTATGGATGTGTCCCATTGGAGGATATGAATTATGATACACCCAGGGAGTGCGAGAAAACCAGGGTCAAGGGTGACAATGAGTGATGTGTCTCAGAGTCAGCTACACTCGGGTAGCACTGGCATGTTTACTCCTAATAAATCTTCTTTGAAGCTTTGAAAATCCAGCTAGAGACTCATGATTTAAATGGAGGTAACTACCAGAGCCCTGACACAGGGCCTGCGTGATCCCCTATGCCCCATTTTGGCCGACAGAGGCACTGCAGGCCAGTCCTTTGCTATTTCCAGGCCAAATTTAAGCACCTTTGAGTTTGACACCCCTGCATTAGTATGATGAAGAGAAGGCTCTTCGTAGAGTCAATGATAACAGTCTTCCAATACAGGCAAGTCCTCGAGCTATGGCCACAATTGAGCCCAAAATGTGGGTTGCTAAGCGAAACATTGGTTGTGAATTTTGCCCCATTTTACAACCTTCCTTGCCGCCGTTGTGAAGTGCATCACAGCAGTTGTTAAATTAGAACCACGGTTGTTGAGTGAATCCGACTTCCAACCATTGACTGGTCAGAAGTTCACAAAAGCTGGTGACATGACTCCAGGACCACTGAAACCATCATAAAAGTGAGTCAGTTGGCAAGCATCAGCATTGTGATCACGTGACCAAAATGGGGATGCTGCAATGGTCATAAGTATGAAAAAAAAAAAAAACAGCCCCAAGTCACTCTTTTCAGTGCCGTTGCAATTTTGAACAGTCACTAAGCGAATGGTTGTAAGTCAAGGACTATCCATACAGATTCCACTTATGACTGGTTGCTTAGTGACCATTCAAAGTTACGACAGACCTACCTTGGGGCTACTTACAACCTAGATTCAGAGTTCCAACAGTGGGGGGGAGGCCCTAGAGGTCATGGGCATAAGATGAAATTCAGCCAGTTCTGACCAGTTCTGGAGAACCAGTAGTGGAAATTTTGAGTAGTTCGGAGAACCAGCAAATACCATATCTGATTGGCCCCACCCCATCTATTTTCTGCCTCCCATTGAGTCCCAACTGATCGGCTGGGTCTCCTTTGATTGCCCTGCACAGGAGAACGGAGCTGGAAAGCAGGTTATTGGGGTGGGGAGAGAATAGGGATTTTGCAGTATCCTTTCCCCATGACCACCAAGCCACACCCACACAACCGGTAGTAAAAAAAAAATTGAATCCCACCACTGATCAAGGGATCAAACTTTGGGTGTTTGGAAACACGGCCACATAGATTTGTAGCATCCCATGGTTAAGTGACCACATTTTATGACAGTTTTGCTGAAAACCGGCAAAACCACGCCCATAATAATGAACCACCGATTTGCTTAATGACTACAGCATTCCCTTAATGACCAGGATGTCAGCCTTGGAAGCTATTTTGTACTTGGAAGCTTCAAGGCTGCCACATTCAGTGCCTGAGGGAATTTGGGAGGGGGGATTTCATAGAGAGGTAGAAGATTAGACACAACAACATTCCTTTCTCAGACAGTCAAGGACAAGCTGCCCTGCAACCTGGAGGGGAGTGTCTGGAGGAATGTCTCCAGTTGGGGCAAAGATTTGATTGGGCCATGTGATGGAATGATGGATGCAGGGGAGGGATCTTTGAATTTCTATTGGAAGGGAAAAACATAGAACTCTCAGATTTGGGTTTTCCCAGATGTGACAATATGACAACTCTAATAAAATGGAACTTTGAGGAATTGTTTGTCTCGAAGTTTATTGGTTCGGAGTTTGTTAGTTGGAACACTGGCACAGGGTTTTATTTAACAGCAGCAGTGATTCACTTAACAACTGCCATGAAGAAGGCTGTCATGCCCCTGTTAGAATCTGACTCTGAGGGAGAGGAGGAACAGCTGAGAGGGAGTGCGAGTGTGGCTCCGGAGGTTGTAGAGGAAACTGGGGAACGGCACAGGCCGGCTGGGCATTCAGAGGAAGACCCAGGCCCATCTCCTCTTCATAAGGGAGAAACATGAATGGCGTGGTCTACGGGGGAGGAAAGGGCCTTGATCCCCTCATGGGCTGCAGCTGTGAAGACTGTTTAAAAGGACAAACTGCCCATGGGCCAGTGCTGGGAGCAAAGGATGAAAATATTCCTAGTTTGTGAGTTCTTATCTGAGTTCTGGCGTCATTCCCAGTTGTGTGTATTTCGATATCTGTGGATGTCTTCAAGCCCTTATCCTGCCTTGTCTCATTAATTTCTTCAGTGTGGTTAGTGTCGTTGTTTTTTCTATTTATAATTTATATATATATATATATTGAATTTGCATGGACTTTCTTCCTTTTCGCAACTGTTTGTGGGGGAGTTTTTCTCCAGTCAATGATAATTGGATCTTTGAAGCCAAGTTGAAGGGATTAAATCACCTGTTTTTGTGACTTTGTTGCTTTTGTCTCCCACCCTGGGTCATCACAAAGGTCATGAAATCAGATTGGGGGTGTGACCACTCCATTTTATGACTATCTTGAATTAGGGCCGTGATTGGCAGGTTTCATTATGGTCATACATTGAGGACTTGAAAGCCTGCCACAGGGAAGAGAATGTCACTTTATTCTCCACAGCACCTGAGGACATCACAAGAAGCAGGGGTGGAAGTTTGTCAGAAGCAACGTGGAAATAAGAAGGAATTTCCTGATGGTGGAAACTACAGTAATCCTTGACTTACAGCAGTTTGCTTAGTGATTGTTCAAAGTTACAACGGCACTGAAAATGGACTCATGTCCATTTTTCACACTTAATGACCGTTGCAATAACCCCCCTGATCACGTGATCAAAATACAGGCGCTTGGCAACTGACTCACATTTATGACAGTTGTACTGTCCCGGACTTACGTGATCCCCTTTTGCGACCTTCTGACAAGCAATGTCAGCAGGGAAGCCAGATTCACTTAACAACCGTGTTACCAACTTAACGGCTGCAGGGATTCACTGAACAAAGGCGGGAAGAAAAGT